CAAGACGAACAAGAAAACAGTATCAAAACTGCAATTGAAAAATGAGACAACAGTCACAACACTATTGCAATGAAAACTACTATTGAAACTCGAACGACTAACTGAAAAAAGAACTACTAATCGACACATATGTTGTTCGTAATTACTAATTTTGTACCGTGTAAACACTGTAAAGATGTAATCATTAGTATTATCAATTTATCATACCTTGCAATTTCCATTTCAGCATTGATCTCTACAGCTTTATTAAAAATTATTACCTTTGCGCTTTTCAGTTACCGAGGTAGTTTCTCGCATTTTAAACCTGCTCGTAATTTTGTACCGTGTAAAGATGTAATCATTAGCATTATCAATTTATTTATCATACCTTGCAATTTCCATTTCGGCATTGATCTCTACAGCTTTATTAAAAATTATTACCTTTGCGGCATTTGCGCTTTTCAGTTACCGTGGTAGTTTCTTGCGTTTTAAACCACAAGTACCTCTGCCAGTGTTGAGAAATCACTAACGAGGGAAAACGGGCTGTTCCCGAAGAGTTCGGAGGTTCCAAGAGGCCCGGCAAGTCCCATAAAGTTTATCGTTCTATATGGCCCGCACATGAAAAGAAAAAAGTAAAAAAAAAGGGGAAAAAATATGATACTTTCTCTACTGCAATGATGTTGGGCAGGGTAGTCTAGGAGGCCGTGCTCAGAGTAGTCCTCCACAGAATGAATCTTACAGCTAAAACGGTCAGATTCTGAATGTTGTTGTTTCCTTTTTCTAATTTCTCTTTCTCTTTCTCATTCTTACAAGTCCCCTGCCAACGAGGCAGGGCGGAATCTGATCTGCTCAAGCTGTGTTTCCTCAGAGGATTGTAACCCCGTTCACACTGGCACACTTGGTGGAATGTATCCGCCCAATTTCACGGCCGGATCCGTGTTTCCTTTCTGGAATCTGACAACCTGGCCACGGGGCTGAGACGCAGCCATGAAGACGTTCGGGTTAGTCCGGTAAGCGTTGGCGCAGACTGCCCATAGAGTCTGCGGGACGAGGCACAGATGGAGGATGACTGCATATGCATGGACCCCACAGCAGCAGGGGGTCCAGATTCATCTATGGGGTCCATGCATATGCAGCCATCCTCCATCTGTGCCTCGTCCCGCAGACTCTATGGGCAGTGAACTGCCCTTCCACTAAGATGCGATACCCCGCCCCCCCCAATCCTAAGCATGGTGCCTTCCTAACCCAGGCTCCCCAAGAATCGACTGTCCCGACTAATTCCCCCAATTGAGAATTCCCATGGAGGATGAAGTGCCACCACCGAAGGCATCGTGAGATACCTGTGGGATGAGAAGTACCCAATACCTACCCCATAGTAACGCCCAGTGTGTGCGTCGAGACATCTCAAGGCCGTCACCCTCAGAAAAAAGAAAAAAAACAAGACAAAGAATCGAAATCATGTGCCAGAGGCCACTTCAGCTATGGCACATATGGTTGCCTTCTGAGTCAGTACCCAATACCTACCCCATACTAACACCCAGTGTGTGCGTTGAGACATCTCAAGCCCGTCACCCTCAGAAAAAAGAAAAAAACAAGACAAAGAATCGAACTCATGTGCTAGAGGCCACTTGAGGTATGGCACATATGGTTGCCTTCCGAGTCATTAAAAAGCTCTCTCTCTCTCTCTCTCTCTCTCTCTCTCTCTCTCTCTCTCTCTCTCTCTCTCTCTCTCTCTCTCTCTCTCTCAGAGGCCTCGATCGTCTCTGAACGCCTCTACCCTCCCTAACTCTCTCCTACAAGGCATGACTGCGGGTGCCAGTGACTACTACTGCCCTCGCAGTATTCTTTCCCACGTATGGACGAGATGCACAATAACACTGCAGCACTTCCGCAACATCAGAAATGGGCAAACGTCCGATGCTGCGTGTGACTTGTCATTTGTACTTGCAGCAGTTCCCGAATTGAGACTTATGCTTGTGCCGCTTTTCCTTATGTTGTCCGTCTATGACTCTACGCTTGCCGGCGACAAGCAATCGGATTGACGGCCCCCCAAAATAGAAGGGGCCTCTGTGTGTGTGCGTGTGTGTGTGTGTGTGTGTGTGTGTGTGTGTGTAGGAAAAAAGGAGAAAGAAATCATCATCAAAGGTCATTGTAGTATGACAGTACCGCCCCAAGAGCATTATAGGATTTCCAAACGACCTCTCCACACTTGTGTGGAGCCACACTTTGGGGGGGAAGTAACAGACGGTCTACAGAAAAGGACAACGTGGAGCAGCAAGGGGTCCAGATTCATTGGTGATACTCTCCCTAGCGAACCCTGAATAACTTCTTAGGGGCACCATTGCCAGTACCTGGCCAGCCCCAAATTTACTACGTATCCCCCCCCATGACTTGTCTGCAATTCTGCAGAGCTCCAAAACTGTGATGTATTCCACTGCCTGCAGGTCCCTGGCTTGTCAGATTGCACTGCAGGTCCTTGGTTTGTCAGATTGCATGGCAGGTCCCTGGTTTGTCAGATTGCACTGCAGGTCCCTGGTTTGTCAGATTGCATGTTATACTCCACTGCCTGCAGCTCCCCGTGATAGATGAGACAGCACATCAAAGACGACAACTGAGGACAGGAGGAACACAAAAACGCAGCCCATTTAACCAAGGCGCCAGCAGCAGCAGCAACAGGAGGACGACGAAAACGAAGACGAAGACGAAGACGAAGACGAAGACGAAGACGAAGACGACGAAGAAGAAGAAGACAGCGACAAAGAAGAAGAAGAAGAAGAAGAAGAAGAAGAAGAAGAAGAAGAAGAAGAAGAAGAAGATGAAACAGCGACAAAGAAGAAGAAGAAGAAGAAGAAGAAGAAGAAGAAGAAGAAGAAGAAGAAGAAGAAGAAGAAGAGGAAGAAGAAGAAGAGGAAGAAGAAGAAGACAGCGATAAAGAAGAAGAAGAAGAAGAAGAAGAAGAAGAAGAAGAAGAAGAAGGCGCGACAAAGAAGAAGGCGACGACAGCAAAGAAGAAGAAGAAGACAACAAAGAAGAAGAAGATGAAGAAGAAGATGAAGAAGAAGATGAAGAAGAAGAAGAAAGTTGACAATGATCAAGATGATGAGGAGGACGAAGGAATTGCACATCATTTCATAAAGCCAAGGAGGTAGTGCCTACCACAGTCTACCACTGTTTTCCAACAGGGACTAAGCGGCCTAGAGGGAAAGAAGTTAAAAAGTCATCCGCCACTAAGAGGCAAAAACATTTGCGGCTCTGCTGCAGAAAGATGGGAATGGAACACGATGATGGCCCAAACCAAGGCAAAACTATATGGATGGACGGACCAGAAGGGCAACGTTTGTGGTTGTATGTTTGGACAGAAAAAAACAAATGCCCAGATTTTGAACGCAGCACACGTATACAATATTAACAACCTAATTGATTACTACGTTACTTGCAGTTCATGGACATTGCTAACCTTTTCTTAGCTGGGAAATGATATTAGCAGGAGAAAGGGAAATCTAAGGAGAAGAGAGGGGGAGTAGAGGGGGAGGGAGAGGGGGAGGGGGAAAGACCGTCAGGAGCATTCACAGGAATGTGGACTGCAAACGCACAAGTTCAGCATGGTCGATGCCAAGGTCCGCAGAGCTGGACAACACATGATCGACAAACCAATCAAAGGCTGCCGTTTGCTCCGCGGGCAGTTTGGGCTCCATTCGCCTCTTCACAGCGTGTACCTGACGAAAAAAGATAAGAAATCAGAATTTTCAATTTTGAGATGTGCCTCAGTCACATTCAAATAACAGAAACGTGCACAAAGGGAACGAGCAAAACGCCAAAACCGTTGAAAGACGATATTTTTGATACAAAGAACTCCTCAAAAATCAAACCAACTTTAGGATTAGCAAGTCAGATGGCACACACCATGGCTAGTTCAGAACAGACAATTTGGGACAGAACACATAGGGAGAGATGAAGAGTACTCCATGAGGGGAGAGGGGGGGCAGAGGCAGAGCACACAACCTGGGATAGTGTCTCTGGCCTTATATTTGGCATATAGATTATGCACACGCGTAGAGAGAGAGCACAAACATCATCTCTCTCTCTCTCTCTCTCTCTCTCTCTCTCTCTCTCTCTCTCTCTCTCTCTCTCTCTCTCTCTCTCTC